GGGTAGACAAAGAAGCAGGCCGCTGATCCCTGGCCAAGTGGCGATGTTGTGCATGTCGTCGACGATGATACACAATAAGAGGAGTGGCGATGTTTATATATATATCGAGTGGCGATGTTTATATCGTCACAAACAGAACTGCCCGGTAAACCGTAGGCAGAGAGAGAGAAGAGGAGGAATATATATATATATCGTCATATATATATCGTCAAACAGAACTGCCAGGTAAACCGTTGGCTGACAGGGAGAAGAGGACAACAAACAAAAGGCTGTGACAAACTGTTTCATCGGAGTTTCACTGACTCATCAGGAGGTGGAACCCTCAACAATCTGCAGAATTCCCTAACTGATTACACAATCGGTGTATACATATTATATATATGTATATGTGACATAGTGTGTGACATGCATGTGCAGCACGACTCATCTTCAGCTCACCAGGTCCCAACCCAAATCCACGTCTCGACACGGTGACCGAGTTTTGGGGACAATCTCCATGCTGCTAGGAGTCAGGTTGTGTGGCATGCAACATGATATAGGAACAAGGATGACTTATATATGTGACATGGTGTGTGACATGTACGTGCGGCACGTCTCAGCTCCAGCTCACCAGGTCCCAACCCAGATCCACATCTCGACCTCCAGTTCTGGGCTACTACAGAAGTGGCTGCATGATCTTTTAGGACATCTGCAGTTTGCTCCCTGACCGATTCCACAACTCGCCAGTCATCGACTATGAAAGCGTGATATACTAACAGCAACCACAGCTATCTATTTTTGGCTTGGACACAATCCAACACCAACCACAAGAAGTAGGGGGCAACATATTTGGATTGAATCTTGCCATTGAAAACCCAACACCGAGCGAAGCAAGGGGCAATTTACTCAGGCTTACCTCGGAGGAACACACACATGGGCCTTCCTGATGTTTGCACTCTTCTTCCCCACCCTTCCGTAGAAGCGGCACTAGGCCAATCTCAGTTGATCGTGGGCGGAGACTTTCGTCGCCAGGGCCCTTGATTACTCGCTCAATGGCAGGGCGATGAACGCATCAACGGCCACTGATCGATTGGAAAAAAGAGAGACAGCAGCACATGGGCAAAGCAACCACCCTCCGCCGATACGACTCATACGAGGAACAAGTCGAACCTGTCACAGCAGGACTCCACTTCCATGCTTCTCTCAACATTATTATACCTCAGTCACTCTCACTCCCCATTTGCCATGAGCTTCCACACCGGACACTTTGAGATTCCATTTTTGCCGCACACTCGTCAAATCAGATACTTGTCCTTTGAAGCATGCCACCGACCGATTTAGCAAGACAACCGATTCCATTTTTGTTTGCCGCGCGCTCGTCAAATCAGATACTTGTCCTTTGTAGCAGGCCACCAACAGATTTAACAACTTGAAGACAACCATTTTCCCGCTGGATTCCTTCCCCTGTTCCGCATGGGGGCCTGTCCCTTGGAGTGAGGAAGAGCCCACACACAGTGCCTTGTAGAGACTGCAGAGGCAGTTCCTACAACAAAAGAAAAATGAGGGTTACTCATCCATGGCCCTACACACACCTCCTTCCCTTTCAAAGAGCCCCTTGCAAGGATTCTCCCTGAGTTTGCGAGAGACAGACACACACACACTCACAGATATACATAGATAGAGAGAGAGAGAGAGAGAGAGAGAGAGAGAGAGAGAGAGAGAGAGAGAGAGAGAGAGAGAGAGAGAGAGAGAGAGAGAGAGTAACGTTTTACTCTGATTTTCCATTGAGTCTGTCTATCTGCACATATTCTGCAGCTTGGATCGTCGAGAATTCGTCCATTCTGAGACTTGTCTGCAAACACTCAGCTCGGACTGTCGAAAACAAATTTTCAGTGCCTGATATCCTCTTTCGTCCATACCGCTTCGCAATCTTCGGCTTTTTGACTATCCACTCCTTTCTAGCATTGCACCCAATCTCATCACTGCCTCCAAAGATCTTTTCCTCGTGGTCTTGGCATCCTCGCGTCTTCGCCCTTCTGCAGCGACTCTGCAGATGTTTTGCTCGATTGAGTCGATTCATTCACTGCTTCACTGCTTTCATCAGCTCCGGCTCCAAGTCATCGTCCAGCTTCTGGACCTGACGGTCCCTGCTTTCCACAGAACGCTTCGGAATCTTCGGCTTTCTAGACTCTTCATTCCTTTCTAGCATTGCACCCATCTCATCACTGCCTCCAAAGATCTTTCCTCGTCGTCTTTGCGTCTTTGCGCTTCGCGCTTCTGCAGTCGCTATGCACAGTGTCACGCTTTGCTCGATTCATTCACTGCTTTCATGCGCCTCGGCTCTGAGTTATCCTCCAGCTTCCCGACCTGACCAACTTTGCATGCCCTTCTCTCCATTCCGTACAACGAATGAGTCAGCTACAGCTTCAAAGTCATCAACTTCCAGCTTCTGTATCCCCTCGACATGCATGCATGCATGCTCTTCTACAAATCCTCGCACTGCTTTTATGCACTTCAGCTCTGCTTTCGGGGTCTCTCTGTGTGCTCTTCTTGTAATTCCTTCACAGCCTTCCCGCACTCCTCCAAGTCATCTCCCAGCTTCTGTAGGCTCTTTGCATGCTCTTCTCTCAATTCATTCACTGCTCTCGACCACTTCAGCTTGAAGTCGTCTTCCAGCTTTTGGACCCTCTCCGCATGCTCTTCTCTCAGTTCCTTCACTGCTTTCATGCACTTCATCTCCATATCTGCCATCTTCTGCCGAATTATCTTCTCCCACTCTGGCTTGCCACAGCAGCAGGTATTTTCTTCCATCTTCCCCACAACCCTTTTCTTTGATGCCGCCGCGGGTGATTCATCACAGCAGGTCTTATCTTCCATGTTCACCACAACCCTTTTCTTCGATGCCGGTGCCGCTGGTTCATCATCGACTGGCGGAATTTCCGTCTCCCGCTCTGGCTTGCCACAACAGGTCTTGTCTTCCATCTTTCCCACGACCCTTTTCTTCGATACCGCTGGGGGTGGTTCATCGCTTGGAGGTGGAGGTGGTTCATTGATTGGCGGCATTTGCGTCTGGGGTCGTTCCGCAAAGACAGCGGCCGTCTGAATATTCGCTTTACTTTGGAATTCCTTGTTTCTTCCTTTCCTCACGATCTTCAGAAGGAGGAGCTTTCCTCTTTTGTTAAGAACAACGACACCATTAGAGTTTTTGCACAGAGCCAAATGCCGTCTGCCCTAAATATCAGTTTACTATCGTAGTCGGCCATAACCATCAGGTTTGACTCATCCCAAACCGTAATTAGACCATCATATGGAGCCCCAACGATGTAGGGCAGGTATGGATGGAAGAAGGCTCTCTCTACATCCCTGCCGTTGCGTACAAAGGGATGATCATGGGGGTAGGGGAATCTGTCCTTTTCCTTGCAGTAGCCCCAGTTTGGATCAAAGAAGGATGTCTCCACATTCTTGCAATCCCCCCTTCTCAAACAGGATGCATCAATTCCATTCTTGCTGTCCCAGATTATGTTTGTCTGCTCTCTATAGGGGAAGTTAGTTTCATGATGCGACAGCATGAGTGACTTCTCAAGGCTGCGGCTAAAGCCAAGACTGCAAATATGGAGGCCGCGATAACCTCCGACGGTTTGAACACGCGACCTGTTGCTTATGTCCCAAACATTGATCGTGCCTCTGAAAGAACCGCTTGCAAAAATATTTGAGTCTGTCGGATGGAGCGCCAACGCCGTTACCCTATCAAAATCACGCCCAGACCTATCCACTTTTTGTTCTTCCCTCTTCTTTCTCCCAAACGTGATCTGCTCCCATTCTTTGTCCCCATTCCACAAAACCACAACATCTTCGGCCCCAGTCAACATGTAGCATACGCTGGGATGCTCACCAACCTCCCACGGGAGAGGTTCACCAGCAGGAAGCTCGAAAGTCGTGACGCAGTGCAAGTCTGGAGCTTGGATTTCGTAAACGACGAGGCTCTCAAAATACTTTGTCGCAATCCAATTTTTCTGAGGAATAAATTTTGCAACGATAACATCAGGATGGTCAGCGATCTTCACAGAGGCGACTCGTGTCCCATCTTCATAGTTCCACACTTCAAGACTGTCACAATGTTCAAAGCGCCACCCGAAACAACAATCTTCTCTAGAGTAACGTCCGCAGAGGACCCATGGCTGATGGGAATGCAAATCGATCGAAAAAAGAAGACCAGTATTTGGATCATCATCCCCACGAACTGGCCGAGGCCGTGTGGATGATGAGGCTGCAGTGGACTCATCACTAGAACCGCCCTCTTCTGGGCCGTCACATAGGGTGCATTCAAACTCTAACACTAATTGGATGTCGCTTTGGCCGCCAGCAGGAAGACACGTGGCTTCAAGAGAAGGCCTCATGTTTGCCACAAACACCCCTGGATTGGATTAACTCACACCTCTGCGCCTGCTCGAGAGTAAAAGTGAGAGGATAAAACAGCCACAGCACTTGTCAATGCCCGGACATGCTAATGCTACACAAAGAGAAACAGAGAAAGAGAGAGAGAGAGAGACTTGTGCCCTTGCTGGAGAGTAAAAGTGAGAGGTTAAAAACAGCCACAGCTACACAAACAGAAACAGAAACAGAAACAGAAACAGAAACAGAAACAAAAACAAAAACAGAAAACAGAAACAAAACAGAAAGAGAGAGAGAGAGAGAGAGAGAGAGAGAGAGAGAGAGAGAGAGAGAGAGAGAGAGAGAGATTTAAAAGGATTAACAATGGACAGGACACGTGGCAGCCAGTGATCGATTCTGGCAACAAGAACATGACATGTAGCCACATCGTGATAGCAACCATATGTCAGTGGAGAGGACTCGTCTATGACAGGTGGCACTCTACTTCCAAATTATTAAGAGCGGGCTCGTTTGTGCCACGTGGCACTCGAGTTCAAACACGTGAGACTGATCCAAATTCGCGAGTGCCAAGTGCCACGTGGCGAATCAGTTGGCCACGCGGGTTCGAACACAGTCACCATGTCTTATTTCACGGTCTTTTTTTTTTTCCCCCCAATTCTATTTCATGCTCTTTCACCGCTAACGAAGAGGCAACACGTGTCCTTTGGGACATCCGTTAAAATTGGAACGGTACAGAGAAGATTAGCGTGGCCCCTGCGCAAGGATGACACGCATAAATCGAGAAATGGTCCACATTCTTTGGGGGGGGGAAAGAAAAGAACAGAGAAAGAAAAGGCAACGCAATCAAGAAATCAAGGAACTCCGACCGAGCCAATGGAATGATGGGAAAAAGAAGGAATACCGCCGTTTACCATCTATGCTTTCCAAAATCGTCCAAAACGTAACAGATTTTCCTAAATCATTCAAAAAAAAAAAAAAAAAACGTTAAAAAATAGATGAAACACAACAGTTTCACTCCCCTCTGCCCAACTCTTTCACACATCAAATCTATCCACAGCTACAAACCCCCACATCTCTCTCTCTCTCTCTCTCTCTCTCTCTCTCTCTCTCTCTCTCTCTCTCTCTCTCTCTCTCTCTCTCACACACACACACACACACAGGATTGCAGGGTTGGTCTGAGTAAAGTCGACCACTTTTCTCTCTCAGGGATGGGCATCGCTAACTCTGGGCGATGTGGTGTGTCCATATCCATCAGTCAAATGCATCCTGGGCGGACTGTCAGCCCAGGTTCAACCTCCTGATGAGTTGGGGAAAGTCCGATGAAACAGTCTGGCACAGACATACTTCTCTTGTGGAATTGTGTGTAGCGAACATTACAACACACACACACACACACACACACACACACACCAAACTACACACACATACACACCAAACTTCACACTTTAGGTTTTGCTGCGGTCCTTAGGTTCCTCTCAATAGTTGTTCACTCTCTCTCATCTCGCAACGATCGCGCCCTTCCGTCTACAACAACCCTTTGCCACCGAACATCGAGGACGAAGACAGCGGAGGATATTGTAGGTCATTTGGCGAAGTAGACAGCGGGGGTACGAAAGATAGCACTGCCTTTTGAATACAAAGCGGGGTCGTTGTAACTGGATTGGCCGTAGTTTTCGGGCCAGATACGGTTTTGACTACCGGTAGTCCGCGCCGTATGTATGGAGGTTTACTTGATTAGATCCCCAGCAAATTAACCGAAAGAGATAAGGGGGGCCGAGGGGAAAAGAGGGGGTGGAAGAGAGGGGGGGAGGAGGGGTGAAAACTCAAACAAACAAAAAGAACTAGGAAAATTTGTCTGGCGCCCCTGTATTTTGTGATATTTCGCATCGCGCCCCTCCGACGGCCGGTTTACCCTGTCGCGCCCCTCTGAGCAGGGTTGAAATTTTCCGAAAGACCCCAATGTCGTTTCGGCCTCAAATCTTTTCATCACGCCCCTACCGGTACGGGTCAGTAATTTGCAGGATGCCCCTACCGGATGGCCGTTAAAAGCCAGCGGACAAATTTTTGAGATGCCCCTACCGGTAGCATTCATCTTTTTGGCACGCCCTTGTTGCCGTTGGAGGCGCTTTGGGGCCTGTGAGGGAGCTACCAGGGCATGACAGAAATTTGTCGGTGGCCCCATCTTTCCGCCGCGCCCTTGCTTGCATACAACGACAGTAGGCCACTGCGGCTGGGTGATTTTAGCCAGTGCAGCCTCCCTGCGATGCACATTATCCTTGCTCTCTCTCTCTCTCTCTCTCTCTCTCTCTCTCTCTCTCTCTCTCTCTCTCTCTCTCTCT